TAAATTAATCAATTTTAAAAATAATTAAAAAAAAACAAATTATTTAAATTATTTAAATTTAAAATTATATAATAATATATACATTTTATTTTTTTATATATATTTCACATATAATAATTATGTTTGAGTAGCTTTAATATAACTAAATAATGTCATGTAATTATTGTGATTTATTATAATATGATATCATATAATAATTTTAATCTTTAAGTAGTATAATATAAAAAGAAAAAAATATATATTTTGATTACAATATATGTTTTTATATCTACATATATATAGTTGATATATTTAATTGGAATATATCATTTAAAAAGAATTTTAAAAAGAATTAGATTAGTTTATTAAAAAGAACTATACAATTATGCATACAAAAGAATTAAATTTGTCTAAAGATTTATCACAAAATTATCACTTCTTAATTTAATTACACTCACTTATTTTTTAATATTATTTAATAAAAATATATTATTGAAATAATTAAATATTGTAAAATTACTAAATAAAATTTTTATAATATTTTTTAATTTCAATTTTTAATACTTAGGATAAAAAGAATAAATTCAAAATTATATAAAGAATATTTTAAAATATTTTAAAATTATTTACATACAATATTCATATATAGTTAAAATAATATATATTATTATAACTAATAAAATGATTACATATGTGATTAGATTTTAAATTGTAAGAATAAATAAAGTATTTTTTTTATTCTAAAAAAAATGTTTAATATATAAATGTATCATTATATATTTATATATATATTTAATGGATAAATATCTAAAATTGAATAAATCTTAATTATATATTCTAATAACTTTGGCATTGTGTGTGTATGTGTGTGTTTGATATTAAATATTGTATTGAAATGTTAAATTTAAGATTTTTTCACTAAAAAAAATGTACATGCTTTACTATTGATATTTTAATTTTAATTTAGATATCTCATTTAATAACTGCACTATTAATTCAGAGATCTTTTCCTATGTATCTATTATGTGCTTTATTTCTTAAAACTTGTTATAATATTTATCTCTGAAATAGTGAATATTATTGTCATGCTACCAAATTATGTGTTGTAGATAAAGCTTCTTAAAAATTTATCATTACATAACATTCAAAAGTGCATCATTATTAAAATTTCTAAAAACTGATAAATTTATAATATTATAAAGTGAACACATTTACATATATAATAATATATGTAAATATTTTTTATGTATAATACGAATGAAATATATCAACAAAATTTAAATACAAATTTAAATACAAATTTGATAAAATAAATTTTAAAACATAACTATAATAGATATACTTTAAATTTTTAACATCAATAAAAAAAAAGTATAATAATATATTACATTTCAAATGTAATTTTATATATGAAGATTATACATAAGATTTATATAACATATAAAATATATGTTTCTTTTATTTATGAAACAAACAAAATGATATAAAATAGAATGTAAAATGATATAATTAAAATATGTTAGAAAAATTTGTATATATAATAAAATTAAAGAAAAAAATTCTAAAGCACAATATAATTATCACTAAAATAGTATATTATAATGCATTAAATATTAATAAAAAAATGTTTTCTTTATTTTAATGATAAATTTGATTATATAATACGAAAAGATAATTATTTTTTGTTTCTATTAATAAAATAAAAAAGATACAATTAATACCATTTTGTTTGTTTTACATAATAATTTTAGTTGATACAATCAATACAATTTTTTGTTTTATTTAAAATAAACTTTCAGCATATATGACGAGTTTCACTGTTCATAATAAAATAAAAGATTAACATTTAAGAAAAAAGAAATATTTAATACAATTATATCAAACATGACATCAGTTCAATGTATGTCCTGTTTAACTAGAAATGCTTAAATGTAGCAAATACAATAAAATGTAGCAAAATACAAATAATATGAAAAAATATTTCAGATAAAAATTGTATAAAAAAATGTATTATATTATGCAATATTAATTTTTGTATATATTGATATATAGATATATTTATATAGATATATATATATTTTCTATATATTTGTAAAAATAATAAACTTAATTTTTTAGACAAATTATATATTTTTTAATGTATTAATCGATTATTTTTCTATGAAAAAATATTAATTCATTTATTGAAAAATTTAATGATGATTTTGTTATATTATATTTAATTTAATATTTAATTTACTGATGATATTGAACTTGAAGTTTATAAATTTTATCATGTATGAAATATAAGGATTTTTTACATATTTCAAGTTAAAATATCTACTAAATTAAAATTTTTCGATTTTTTAATTTAATTATAATATAATTTAATATTTTTTTATAGAAAATAATAATATAGAAAATAAGCTATATCAATTATAATCCAAATTATATAGATTTATTTAAAAAATTAAAATTAATTTTCATACAATTTTTACATATTTAAACTATTTATACTATATAATATAAATACATGTAAGAAAATAAAATATATTTTCTTATCAACAACTTTTATCAGAAACATTTTTTTCGTATTTTTTGTATTTTTTCATAGTTTCAAACATTTCCAATTAAAAAAAACATATTATATTTATATGTAATATATACATAACAAATGTTCAACATTGTTCAATGTGGATGAATCATATTACCATAACTCAGTTATTTAAATATGTTACAAAACATTTGAAAAATAATTCACTGTTATTAATAAAAAAACATATATGTTATAAAATGTACAAAATATAACATAAAATTGTAATTTGGTATTAATATTAATTTTTAAAAACAAGAAAAGAAAATTATATTAATGTATAATATAATGAATTTATAAACTTTACATTATAAACTATCTTAGACTATTGTAATAATAATGAATTTTTAAAGTTAATTAATTTTTTAATTTTAATTTTTTAAAGTTAAATGTAATTTTATATTATAATATTATTTTCTTCTTTTTTATTGAAAAATAAATAAAAATAATAATTTTTCAATAATATAAGATATCTCATATAATACAGATTTTTGATAATATAATGTTCAATATTTATAATAATTTCAATAAATATTTCACATTAATTATATTTATAATGTGTCTAATGTATATTTATCATTTTAATAAAAAAAATACACAGAAAATTTGATAAAAAATTTGATAAAAATTTTGATAAAAAATAATAGAAATAAGATAAAATTATTTAAATAATTATTATTAATTATATTTAATAATTATTAATTAATTATATTATACTGTATATAAATGAGTTATCTTATAAAATATGTAAAATTACATTTGAGTTTTTGTGAAACTCGACTATATTAATCTTAAATTAGAGCGGTATAAAATGATTATGTAGAATCTATAACATTATTGTATCGTTTTTCTTATTATCACAGATTGTTTTGGTGGTAGGCCTACTTCCAATATTAAGTTAAGTTACTGGCCTACTATGGACTAGTAAATTTTAGTATTTCAGTATCTAATTGATTTAATTCTAAATGTACTAACCAACATCATGTTTCTAGTGCTGGAAAAAGTCTTGTTAGCACAAAATAAGCTACATCATAATTACTCCAATATGTTGTATGTGCTGCTAATGTGTAAAAATAATTTCTTCCTAAACTTGCTCGAAGTACATAATCCAATCGTTGTGTTAATTCTAATAATAAAGAAAAATATTATATTATATATTTCATTATGTAATTTTTATTACTAGTATATAAATTAAAAATTAATATAACATCTTTACCTTGTCCTGGTTGAATAGGTGTAGAAACACCTTCTTTAACATTCCAACCCGCTCGGACTAAACCCCAGAGACTCCAACCTTTATCTGGTGTGCGATTAGATATATCTACTGAATTATCTTCTCTTTCATCATTATCTATTATTAAATATTATTAAATATTATTAAATATTTAAAATAATGTAGATATTATACTTTTATTTTCTCCAAAAATTTTAAAAATAATTTTAAAATTTTAAAAAACTAATATAATATAAAAAATAATATAAAAAAATACCTGTAGGAGAAAAATTTTGGTCAGGATTGTTTATTGTTGGAGGTGATTGTTCTATTTGTTGACCATCAACTCCTCCATATGATGGAATAAGAACAGGTTCAATTTTGCTGTATTCCCTTTCGAGAAGTGGTTCCATTCTATAAGCTACAGGATCAGACCAGTGAAATATATTATAAAATCTTTTGCATAAATCTTGAGGCATCACATCAGTTTTGTTGGATAGGGAAGGTGTACGTAATGCAAGAAATACTGATAATGGAGAACCCAAACAAAATAAATTTTCTATCTGAAATTATAAAATATTTAATTTTTATAATATTTTTTTATTAGATCATATCAATTCATTCTTTATTATTCAGAATATTATAAAACAATGTATGTTTAGTGACACTTACTGGAAATTGTAATCGTTGTTTTAAAACTTCTTGTGTTTCTGGAGATGGAGGTCTTGTATCTGGACCCATCCAACCTGTGACAATATCATAAACAATTACACATCCCAATGAATGTGCTAGAATTGAAACTTTTCCTTTCCAACCTGGGTGACGACTAGCAAACATTAAATATAATCTATTTAATTCTTTTTGTAATCCAGCTCTTACTTCCCCTCCATAAAGAGGACTTGTATAATAAAGAATATCCATTGCTGACGTGTTTAATAAATGTCGTATGCTTACTACACTAAAAGGTGTGATAGCTTCTACTATACCTAAAAATTTTGATTATATAATTTTATAAAAGATATAAAATTTATTTATTAGTCAAAAACAAATAAATGTTACAAGATAATTGTATAATTTATTTATATATAATAATTTCTTACCACCATCAAGTTTTAATGAAGATCGCCATTCAACAGGAAAAAATTCTACTCTATAATTTGAATTGGGAAAGTATTTTTGTTTTAACCAATCTACACAATCTCTAAATCTGTTATAAATATCAAATGCAATAAATTAATTTTTGAAAATTTTCATATATTTATATTAAATACTATATATATTACATACAATGTTGTATTACGAATGATTTTTCCAGTATCTCTTTTTTGACCAATTCCATGAACTACAAATATTATATGATCAATATCATGAGGTTTATCTTCCTTTACAGCAAGAATTTTATATCCTCTTTTTAATTGATATCCTGTTGCTACAATATTCATTATAAATAATGTAATGATAATTATTATACAGACATACTTTTAAAATACTTACTTTTTGCAAAACCCAGTTTTGATGTTACACTACGCATTAATTTACTATGTCTATATTCACTATATAATACCACATCATTTATACTATGCCAATCAACATGAAATTCAGGAAAATTTTCAGTATGTAATACTAAAATAAAAGAAATTCATAATTATATCATGAAAAATAAAAAATAAAAATAAAATTAAAAAAAAATTTATACTTTTATAAGAGTGAGGTGTATCATATGTTGAAGTAGCTTGATCAGAAAGTTGCTTTTGAAAAAGATTAAGATGAACTTCTTCTATAATTTTAGATTGTTCTGTTTCTAAAGGTAGCCAACTACCATCATAATACCAAGTTCCTCTCATAATTTCCCATTCTTCACCTTCAAATAAAATTAATAATTATATTTATTTAAACAAAATTATATATAATATTATTTATTATTATATAATAAATTATAAATATTTTTAATTTAATTTAAAAGTAAAAAAATTAAAATATTAAAATACTCAATGAAATTTTCTATATGAAATATGTTATATATATTCTATATATAAAAATTGAAACAAATATTGAAATAATAAAATATATAATATTCTATAATATTCTATATATATATTCTATATATCTATGGTGTTTCAGTCATATTAATCATGGTTAAATATAATAGGCCACAATAAACTCAAGGACAAATCAATCAGTTTCTATAGTGGACATAATGCTCTCATAAAAAAATCATTAGTTAAATTAAATAAATCACATACAATTACAAAGAAATTTGTAATTCATTTAGTAAATAAAAAAATATTTTTAATTAATTTATATTCATTTTTATTTTATTAAATCATATTTAATAAAATTATGAAATTGAAATTGAATAAAATATATACCTGGACAATATATAGAAACACATTTCATCTTATCTAGTTCCACATCGTACATTCCTCCTCTAACTACAATTTTTTCAATAGGAAGTGCATTATTAGTTACATCACTATCTTTATTAAACAAATGTTGATAACTTTGCCAAGCATTTTCAATTCTTAAACTATCATATCCACAAAATTCTACCCATCTCTTATCTACACCATCTCTATAAAACCATCGTATTTGTTCTGCTGTTAAAGGTTCTGCATATGTTAATTCATTTGTTATATTCTGTGATTCTTCCTTTGTATTTGATTGTATGATTGTTTCTATAACTCCTTCAAATATTAAAATTTGAGATTAAGATAAAATAATATATATAATTTTTGTATAAAATTTTGATTAAAAATATTATAATTATAATATATTTTTAATTTTATTTGATTTAATATTTATTTTTGATTTTAAATAAAAATGCAATAAATAATAATAAAATAAAATAAAAGATTTAATATTATTTAACATAATGTACACTACATTAAAGTTACATAAATTAATGAAATTTTCCAATGATTGATATTGATAATCATAAATATTTTATATTCAATAATTACATAGTTCTATTAAATTATTTTTGATTTGATGCAATAAATATTACGTATTTAAATAATTTAAGCACGTCAATTATTTTTTAAAATATATTATACAATAAATATTTTTTTAGAAGTTACATGAATTTATGAACTAAATAATATTTAAATTAATAATAATTTTATAAATCAGTTTCGAACAGTATTGATAATTTTACCTTCACAACTTTGAAATTCCAGTGTTGTTTCACTGAAGGGATCAACTTCAATTTTACCGTCAGACATCCTGTCACTTATGCAATTATCACAGAATATTTTTTAAATCATGTGATTATAATAATTTGCAATATTTTATTTCATGTAAATTCTTCGTAATATCTAATGTATACAAAAAATAACAATTTTTATTAAAATTAATGTTAAACACTATTGAACATTTTAAAAGATAAAAATAGAATTATAATATAGTATGCATTTCATCAATGCAAAATATTTCTTATTATTGTTTATAAAAAAATAATTGAAATGATATTATTATTGGTTAAAAAAGAAAAAAATCTCATTCACAACTGAATATAACGTTAAAAGTTAATTGACGAACTAGCAATCGTCTTCTGCAGTACTTGAACGTTATCTAAATACTGATTTCCTTCAACAAATGCATTCGTTCATGATTCATTTACCTTATATATATACATATAAAATTCTTATTCTTGTATCTCGACGAAACTACTGCATTTAATAGCAGATAGCTGATACATGAACGCAATGCGTAAAACAAGAAGAATGCGATATATACAATTTATGTGTTTTTATACTATTATATAAAAATTATGTATACATGTAAATATATACTAACTATATTAATGAGTGATTAAATATAATGTTATGATAATATCATTTCAAGCATTTAAAAATAAAAAATATATAAATACTATATTATACTGCTTATATGTATAGTATATTACATACGTATATAACTTTGTAAAATTAACTTAGATATAACAGAAAAAAATAAATAAAATTTATATAAATGTAATATTTATTATGTAAAATGTTATTAATAATATAATCAAATATAATTAATTGTAATTATATATAATTTACTTAATGATGAATTTGTAATAATTTGTAACAATTTTTTTTAAGTTCGATCGGTAATTTCATTTTTACAAAAATTAATTTTTTTTGCTTTATTCAAAATTCAAATTATTCATAAATAAAATATAAATAAAAATAAAAAATATAATTTATATATAGTATTAATTTTTTAAATAATTTTTTCATATATTATAAAATAAAATTTATTTTGTAAATAAAAGGACATGTGTCAGTTAATAACAGAAAAAAAAACTGAAAATAATTATTTTAACATTGAAAACTAATACATAAATATTAATTAATTATTTTATTCACATCTAAAATTATTTTGATATAAAAATACACAATACAAGTTCTTTTAAATGTTCAATATTTATAGCTTTTGTTAATGAAATGATTAAAAATTTATTAAGAATATATTTTAATGAATATTTACATTTATCTGAAAATAATACAAATTTAAAAAAAAAAATTATTTTATCATTATGTACATATAGTATATATGTAAAATAAAAAATATATCTAAAAATATGCTTAAAAATAATTATTATTATACCTAAAATCAATATTTAATAAATTGCTGTATAATACATGAATATAATAGTACAGTTTCTTTATATATTTATTATATATTTATTATTACAAACAGTAATATGTCTTTACTTAAAGATAATTTATCTTATAAAGCATATATCTATTTTTATTTATTAATTATTTGCCATGTCCTGCAGCTCGACGTAATAAAACATATATTTTTTCTTTAATCCAATCTTTGTTATATGGGGCATATGTATTTGTAGATTTTTGGTAAACAAGGCATGATAAATCTGTAAGTTGATCAACAAAATCAAATAATTGACTGATATCATATGTTATAGTTGGTGTATTTGGATTTCGCCTCTTTAAATGTTCTTCATAAATCTTGCATACACCTACAAAAAAAATCAAATTTTTTTTATCTTTCTCAATTTACATTATATACATACTTTATTTTTAAAAATTGTTTAAACTTTAATATTCAAATTTTAAATACTTTTACCTTCCATACATTCATTAACACTTTCATAATCTGAATATGTTCTTGTTTCAGGTCTATTACCTGGTTGAACAAGCAATATTGTATGAGACTACAACAATAATAAGAATACATATTATAATTTAATTATTTTTATATATATAAAACAAATAAAAATATTTATAGCTAATTAATTTTTATTTATAAATATTTATAATTAGATTATTTTTTTGTATTTATTCATTAATAATATAGAATTTAAAAAAAACATTGTTTTAAAAGTGTTTATTTTATAAAAATATTATTGTAACATTAAAATAAATGTTTTTACATTTGATGTTAACATGTTTTTATATTTTCATACATATTTATATTATAATCATGACAATAACAATAGCATAATATCTAAAATCATAAACTCTATAACTATCAATTCATTAAAATATATTTCCATTATTAAAAAAATATAAATAAATATATAATATAATGAATAATAATAATAATAACAAATATTAAATAAACAAATATTAAATGTCCATCAAGATTTAAAGTAGTCAAAACAAAAGTCGATTACCATTTTTGCTCCTGGAATAAAAACAATCCACCAAATTAGTGGAGTCAACTTCTTTTGCAATTTTTATTACTTTGTCTACAATAATAAAAAAATGAAACGTTGAAACTTCTTCGAAAAGCAACCTAAAAATTTAGACTCCAGAGTTTTCGATGATTGCACTCAATTCAGTTAGAACATAGGTACTACATGATACATTGTTCCGTCGTTCCTTATGTATTCCGTAGTTCAATTTAGTTTTATATATTTAACATATTCATAAACAATTAATAATAAATTTAAAAATTATTATCTATTAATAATTATAATAAAATAAAATATATAAAATTTCAAAAAAAAAAATAAAGTTTTAATATCATTAAATATAATCATAATTATTGTAATTAAATTTAATCACATATTTAATTATGATAAATATATTATATTAAAAATATTAATTGCAAAACTATTTATTAAGTTAAATAAAAAAAGATTTCAATTTATTTAGCAAAATTATTATGCTTTATTACTTTTTTTATCGATTAAAATAAAAGAAAAAAATTTTACTAATAAATACAGAAATAAACAATTATCTTTATTTAATTAAATTTATATTAAATTCTCTTTATAATCGATAAAATTCAATAATAGCATTAATAATAAATTATATTTTTAAAATAAAGAAATTAATACATATATATTTAAAAATAATAAAATTAAAATAAACTATTTTTTTAAAGTTATTTTTTAAACATCATTTTCATGAAAATATCATAAAGTATAATTGAAAAAGACAATTGAAAAACAGCCTAAACATAAGAGAGTTAACATATGAATGAATGCAGTTTATAAATCGTTGATCATAGAAACGTATTTGGATTTGTGATTAGCAGCGCGGTTTTCTTAAATTAAAAAAAAAAAAAAAATGAAACCAAAACTACAATTAACATCTGAAGTAGCATGGACTAAATTGCAACAATATTTTTCCACAAATGGTTCAAAAATCAAAATATATGATCTTTTTCAACAAGATCCAAAACGCTTTGAAAATTTTAGGTAAGTTTTATTTGTCCTTGACATATGACCTTGATATGACCTTTCGAAAAATTTGAATAAACGCTCAAATAAAATTATCGCCTATAAATTTATTATGAAAATATTTTTCTTGCATTTTTTTTTATAAAATTAAAATGAATATTTTTATTATTTTAATTTTTGTAAATTTTGTAAATTTTTTCTTTATTTGATTTTATGCATATATATATATAGATATATATTTAAAGTATAAATTAAATTAATACAAAGAAATATATTTTGTATCAGAATGAGAAAAAAAATAACTTTATTATGATGAAATTAAAAAATTTAATTTAAAAAGTATTTTATTAATATTTAATATATTAATTATTATTAGCTTAGAAATTTCTACTCCTGAAGATGGACCAATTTTACTTGATTATTCTAAAAATCGTCTTACTAAAGAAGCATTGCAATTACTATTGGAATTGGTATGTATTAAAATTATTAAAATTATGTAATTATAAAAATTTATATAAATATAATATATTTTAATATATTTTGTCAAATTTTATTAATTTTAAGGCAAAAGCACGTGAAATAGAAGCTGCAAGAGATGCTATGTTTAAAGGAGAAAAAATTAATTTTACAGAAAATAGAGCAGTTTTACATATTGCTTTACGTAATAGACTTAATAAACCGATATTGGTTGATAATAAAGATGTAATGCCAGATGTGAATGCTGTATTGAATCATATGAAACAATTTACTAATGAAGTAAAATTAATATATATAATTATTACTTTTTTTATTTTATTTTTAATTTTTAGAAATAATTTTTCATGTAATATTTATTTTTCTTATGTTATAGATTCTTTCAAAACAATGGAAAGGTTTTACTGGTAAACCAATTGAAGATGTTGTTAATATTGGAATTGGTGGTTCAGATTTGGTATATATTATATAAATTATTGTCTTTTTATTTCAAATATAAATAGATTCTGTTTTCATTAAAATATAATTGTAATTATATAGGGTCCTTTAATGGTAACTGAAGCATTAAAGGCATTTCATATTGGACCACGTGTTCATTTTGTTAGTAATATAGATGGAACTCACATAGCTGAAACTTTAAAAAAATTGAATCCAGAAACAACTCTTTTTATAATAGCATCAAAAACATTTACTACTCAAGAAACAATTACAAATGCTATTTCTGCTAAAATCTGGCTTTTAGAAACTTTAAAAAATGTAAGTAAAAAATAAAATAAAAAATAAAAAAAATGTAAGTAAAAAATAGGAAATACAATTTCACAAATTATATTTCATAAATTTTTTATAGCCTACAGCAGTTGCACAGCATTTTGTTGCATTGTCTACTAATAATCAAAAAGTAAAAGAATTTGGTATTGATGAGAAAAATATGTTTGGATTTTGGGATTGGGTTGGAGGACGTTATTCATTATGGTCTGCTATTGGTTTATCAATTTGTTTGTCTATTGGATTTGAAAACTTTGAAAAATTATTAAGTGGAGCACACTTTATGGATCAACATTTTTGTACTGCTCCATTAGAAAAAAATGTAAATACTTAATTCTTACTTATAATTAGATTTTTAGCTTAGTTAAGTGAAATATTAAAATATTGAATTATTATATATTTAACAAAACATTGTACATATATATTCAATGAAATATATCATATATTCATATCACACATTATTTTATAGGCATCAATTATATTAGCTTTGCTTGGAATATGGTATCATAATTTCTATAAAACTGAAACACATGCATTATTACCATATGATCAATATTTACATAGATTTGCTGCTTATTTCCAACAAGGAGATATGGAAAGTAATGGAAAATATGTTACACGAGAAGGAAAAGTTGTGAATTATACTACTGGTAAATATTTTACGTATTCTATTGTATATCTAGAAAAAAAAAATGTATGAAAAAAAAAATAAATAAATGTCTTAAGGTCCAATTGTGTGGGGAGAACCAGGTACTAATGGACAACATGCATTTTATCAATTATTACATCAGGGTACGAGACTTGTTCCTTGTGATTTTATAATTCCAATACAATCACATAACAAGGTACTATTAAAATTAATCATTTAATTAATCATTTAATAATTTTAATAATTAATAATTTTAATAAATAATAGAATAATAAATAATAGAATTTTAATAATAATAGAATTAATACTTCAGGTTCAAGGAAATCTTCATCATAAAATTTTGCTTGCAAATTGTTTTGCACAAACTGAAGCTTTAATGAAAGGAAAAAATGAAAACGAAGCACGAACTGAATTGCAAAAAGCAGGCATAAATCCTGAACAAATAAATTTGTTATTACCACATAAAGTATTTGAAGGAAACAGACCAACCAATACTATCCTTCTTAAAAAAATAACGCCTTTTACTCTTGGAGCTTTGATTGGTAAATTTAACATATATAATATATTAAAATATTGTTTATATATATATTATATATATTATATTTAAATATATTTTATTTTTATAGCTATGTATGAGCACAAAATATTTGTACAAGGAATTATTTGGGATATTAATTCATTTGATCAATGGGGGTAAATACTTATTTCAATATTTAATAATTGAAAATTTTAAATGAATAAATAATAAATAAATCAATTTTATTCCAACAGTGTTGAATTAGGGAAGCAGTTAGCAAAAGTAATTGAACCTGAATTAGAGAGTACTCAACCAGTTACAAATCATGATTCATCAACAAACGGGTTAATCGCATTTGCTAAAAAATATATTTCTTAAATATTTCTTGATAAATATATATAAAATAATTGATGTTATATAATTAAAAAAATTTTAATTATTATAATGAAATTATCAATATTTAAATTGTTAGATAAATAATTTTTTAATGTTCTTTAAATTAATGTTAAGTTAATACTAAGTATTATATTCCTTTGCATAAGTTATAATTGATATATTATAAAATTTTCATTTACATTAATGTAATTAATGTGAATGAAAAATATAAAATGATTGTTAAATAATATTGTATTATAAATAATATAAATTGTTAAATATATATATAATATATAATATATATAAAAAATATTTAGCAGAGCATTAATTTATTTTGTTCTTGCAATATTGTTTTATTATTTTTATATAAATGTTTCATATAATGTTTAATAAATAATATAATAATTATTGATATATTTTTATCTTTTGTTTGTAATATCT